TTTTTTTTAATATATATTTTTCAATTATTTTTTAAAAGATGATAATAGGTAACTCAGTTGCTCTGAATTTCACTTATAATTATAACCTATTTAAATCACAGCAGAACTCCCGCTGGTGCAGAGTTCATAGTTGCATACAATACAGGAGATCACAGTTTTGAAGTCTAGCACAGATTAAAAACCACAGATGTACCATTTATATAAGACACACACTGATTGTCTCTTAAAAACTACATATTGACTCCTTATGAACATTATCTTCTTTTTTTTAATCTTTAAATAAAGTAGTGCAGCTAGGACAATCAGTCACACAACCCACACAGCCCTGAACCAAGTTCTCCGGGTGCCAACTTGAGCAAGTTGGGTGTGAAACGGTTGGATGAGCTCGAGAACGAAAGAAAGAGGGAGGGAGAAAAAGAGGGAGAAAAAGAGAGATGTTGTCCATTGAGAATACTTTAACCAAGGGTTGGCTAACACATTGGAAACCTCTGGGTGAAGGATCTTCCCACACACACATACACAAAAAAAAAAAAAGAAATAAAAACCTAGACTTTTTTTTTCTTTTTTTTCTCTTTTTTTTTTTTTTTTTTTTAAACTGGCCTGTAGGTGAGATGGTCTCCCACCTCTTCCAAACAAAGAAACCCAACAATTGCCTAAAACTAGAAAGAACACAGATGGGTCTGTCTGTTTTCTGCTCACTAGATGATCTGTCCATTTAAGGCCTTCCTCCTCTGTTTTTCCTCTTTATTATTCCTTTTCCAGAGCGTCTGAGCAGGAGATAAGTCTGAACAGGATAACACCAACACTGTCCCCCTCTTGTTGCTGTCGGTTTATTTGTTCATTTGTTTGTCTGTGGAGTTTTTTTTCTCTTTAATTTAACCAAAACCTGACTAAAACTGGAATGTTCAGCCCAGCCTGTTCGTTCTCATCGTGATTTCTCTTGCTATCACAAAGGTTCTTCACAAAACCTGGAACTTCCACGACGATGTCTGGTCCTTATAATCCAAGCAGTCAGCATTGAAGTTTAACTTCCAGGAGGCGGTTTGGTCTTTATAATCCAAGCAATCGGTGGTGGAGTTAAAGCCCAAACTGGAAGCTCCGTAGCCCTGGGTGGAGAGGGAGGCTGGAGACTGGTTGAGGTGGCTGGTGACCGCATTGGCACCCATGGGACTCAGGGTGGCTCCCGGTCCGGGAAGCTGGTGGTGCATAGGGGTCAAGTAAGATCCACAGTCCATCCCTCCAAAATAGGATGTTGAGCCAGCGTATCCTTGACTGTAGCCTGATGCCTGGGTGTACGTCATAGGGTAAGATCTCTGCATGCAGGAGGAAGAGGTGGACAGGGGATCTGAGAGTGGGGAGATGGACGCTGGGCTCCAGATGGATACGGGAGCACTGCTGCTGGAAATGGTGGGGACCGAGGTGCTGGAGGGGGGAGTGAACTGCCCACTGGTCCCGCTTTCCGAACTCACTTCCCGGGCTGGTGAATTTTTCTTTTTAGCTGGCCGTACCTTGTTCTGGCCCCCGTTCTGCTGCTGCTGCTGCTGCTTCCGGCACTTTGATTTTTGCTTTTTATCTGGCGGTCCCTGGTTCTGGCCCCCTTTCGGCTGCTGCTGCTGCTGCTGCCGGCACTTGGCTCGGCGGTTTTTAAACCATACCTTGCAAGCAAGAAACATGGAGGGAGAGAGAAAAAACCTCATGTTAGAGATGTGCAGGCAAAGCCAAGGGAGGAACAAGATGACAGTGGGGAAACCTCTCCAGGGAGGGGGAACTAAAAGTGCTCCCCTAGCAAGTGGAGGGCTGCAGGCTGCTGCAAAGAAAAGCTCCGGGGCTCCCCCTCCCTGAGATCATTAGCAGTAATAACAAGTGGAAATGGGCAAATCAAACTGCTTAATAAGGTCACTTTTGGGGGAAAGGGAGGGGAAGCGCTCCCTATTTGCTGTTTGCCAGCCGGGGACCCCCAGGAACCACAATTTAAGGCCTATTGAAGTCAAGCCCTTAATTAGAAACAATAGAGCATCAGAAAAGGAGGGAGCAGTTAGGGAAACAGAGGCAGGGTTGGTGGGGGATGTCTCACTGACCCTCTAAATAGGCTTTCTGCTCTCACCCCCCCAGCCAGGCTTGTTCCCCTCAGCCCAGCTCACCCTCTTTTATCAGGAAGCAAGGGAGCTGGACCTGTGGAGAAGAGGTGCTGGGGAGGTTTTGTGGGGAGACTTGGTGTGGGGGGATCTGGTCCTGGGTGGTCATGCTGGGGCACGGCACAGCACAGTGCAGCCTAGGGAAGCCTCACAGGGAAACAAGCAGGAAGGATGGCTTTGGAGCTGTCCTGCACCAGCTGCAGGGGTGTCCTGGATCTGTGCTGGGGGCAGGACCCTCCTGCCCTGGCAGCAGCACCTCCAAAATGCTATGGGGATTGGCCTCTTGCAGGCTGCTTGCAGAGGAGACACAGCCCAGCCTCTGGAGAGGTGCCCCCTCCACCAAGGCTTCCCATCAGTCCTTTCAAAGGCAGAGGAAGCCCCCAGTCTGCACTGGTGTGAAAGGGGATCACAGTCTGGCCCTGCTCCAGAGATGTGGCAATCCCTGGGGAAGGAGGGGATCCTTTACTGCTTCTGCAGGGGCCTCAAGCTCCTGCAGGGCAGGCTGGGATTTAGCACCCGGGTCAAGGCACAGTGTGGGGAGTCCTCCGCAGCTCAGAGAGGCCAAGGGGTTGGGGAGGGGTGCAGAGGGATGCCTCAGGA